CACTTGGTAGACCAGGCTGGCCTCGAACTCACAGAGATCCACCTGGCTCTGCCTCCCGAGTGCTGGGATTAAAGGCGTGCGCCACCACCGCCCGGCCTCTGGTTTTGGTTTTTTAAGACAGGGTTTCTCTATAGTTTTGGTGCCTGTCCTGGAGCTCGCTCTCGAGCTCACAGAGATCTGCCTGTCTCTGCCGGTCTCTGCCTCCCGGCTGGAATTAGAGGCATGCACCACCACCGCCTGGCAACAGTTCATTGAATTTTTATTTATTTATTTTTAACAGCACCACTGTTCACTTACCTAACACTGGCAATTTTTAAAATCTTCCTTGAAATATGTAGTAATAATACCTTCAGCTTGATTTTTTTTTTTTTGCAGCACCACTGTTCACTTACTAGCAGTTTTTTAATCTTCCTTGAAATATGTAGTAATAATGCCTTCAGCTTGACTTTTTTTTTTTAAGAAAAGATGTGTTGATTGGAATTTGTCTATGGAAAATTGTGTTTTTGTCTCATGTGTGGACCCATATCTGTCTACAAAAACAACAGGAGCTTAAATTTTATCTGAGTGGAATCTTAATATTTCTTTGTAACCTTTGGCAAATGATTTAATTTGTCCACACCTGAGTTTCTTCATGTGGAAAATAGGAATAAAAACCACCTACTTCACGGCTGTTGTGAGATTAATAAATATGAAGCATGTTACTGTGTCTTGTACATAGTATGACTCAGTACATTTTATCAGTGAAGACCACTGGTAAAGATTAATTCATGCATATGTTTTATAAGTCAGTGTATATTTCACTGTCTTAAACAACTAAAGTGTATTTGCCTAACTACAGTGCATAAGTATTCTTAGTATTTTCTCATTCTGGTATTAAAGAAAATTCAAACATAGGTTGAAAGAATTATAATAAACATGCATGTATCTAACACCTAAATTCTGCAATTAACGTATTTTGTCACATCTGTTTATCTCCATTAGTCCATCTTTTGTTTTATCTAAAAGTTGTAGCAAACAGCATACTTTTGTAAACATTTAGCATGAATATAATTTCTTAGAGTGCATAATTTTTTTGGAGAGATATTTATTTATAGTGGAATACATATGTCATAAAATGTACCATTTATAATATTGCATCCTTTTGAAAGGAAATCTAAGAAATGTTTTCAGAATGTTTTTTAGACAGGGTTTCACGCTGTAATCTAGGGTGGCCTGAAATTTACTATGTAGCCTATGTTGGTCTCAACCTGGCCTGAAATTTCCAACAATCCTGCCTTAACCTCTTGACTTTGGGAGTACAGACATGAGCTATCATATTAGCCAAAATATTTGTTTTCTTGAGAGTATTAACATTAAAGTAATTTTAAAAAAAGTTTATTGTTTAGAAATATAAAAGGCTTTTATATTTTATATCTCACTCGGGATTTTGGGTGAGAGCTTTTATTTTGAAATAATTCCTTTTAGATTCTTAGAGAAAATAGCAGATATCAAGTTCTCTTAAGTGAATTGAGAAAGTTGTGTTCCTTAATTGAAATTAATGTAGTGGTGGCAGATATAAACCTATGAGGAAATGGAGACAGTATGGTAGTAGGGGATGCAAATATAAACATAAAATATTGGGAACATGCACTTTTTTTGTTGGCTTGTAGAGAGCATTATTTGTATTCACACATTACATAATTTTATTTATTGGAATTCTTAACAGTAAATAGCAAGAAATATCCAAGTGTGGAACCTGAGCAGCCTGACACACATCCATAAGTTCAGTGTTTTGAGAAACTGTAGCAAGTGAATTTTGATCTTGAGGCCAGCCTGGGCTATTTGAATCCCTGTCTCAAAAAGACGAAACAATAGGCTGACAGGATGGCTAAATAGCTGAGTTTAATCCTCAGAACCTCATATGCGGTGGAAACAGAGAACTGACTTCACAGAGTTATCCTTCAACCTCCACAGATCACATACATGCACAATAATAATAAAAATCTATTTTTTTAAATAATTTATTTTTTATGTGCATTGGTGTGAAGGTGTCAGATCTCCTGGAATTGGAGTTACAGATAGTTATGAGCTGCCATGTGGGTGCTGGGAATTGAACCCAGGTCCTCTGGAAGAGCAGCCAGTACTCCTAACCCCTGAGCCATCTTCTCTCCAGCCCATCTCTTCTTTTTCAAGATACAGTTTCTCTGTGTATCCTGGCTGTCCAGAAACTGGCTCTGTAGACCAGTCTGGGCCTCTGCTTCCCCAGTACTGGGATTAAAGGTGTGTGCCAACACTACCTCACAAAATTTATTTTTGACATAAGGTCTTGATATGTAGCCGTGGCCAGTCTACAAATTTTTTTTTTTTTTTTTTTTTTAATACAGACTAGGCTGGCCTAGAACTCAGATCCTCCTGCCTCTTGCCTCCATAGTGCTGGGATTAAAGGCAGTGCCACCATGTTGGCATAATAAGAATTGAAAAGTTGCCTTCCCCTCCAAAAAGAAGGCTGGTGATATAATTTAATTTACATAGTATTCTTAAGGCCCTATATTCAATCATCCCCCCACCCCCCCCCTACCCCCACCCTCCGGCTTTTCAAGACAGAATTTCTCTGTGAATCCCTGGCTATCCTGGCACTCTGGTAGACTCTTCATTTGGGGAAAAAAAAAACTGGGAACAAGCACCATTTTGGTTGTGGGTCAGCACTTGTGAATGAACCCAGAGATTTTTGCATGTTAAGCAAGTGTTCACCATGTAGACCAGGGCTGACCTGGAACTCAGAGTCACCTGCCTCTGCTTCCCTGATGCTGAAATTGAAGGCATGGACCACTACACCCAGCTTTATTCTTGATAGGGTCATGATAGGGTTGCCCTAGAATTCCATATGCAAACCAGGCTGTCCTTGAACTCACCTGCCTCTGTCTCTCTTGTGTTGTAATTAAAGGTGTTTGCTACAACACCCAGGTCCTTTTTTTTTTTTTTTTTTTTTTTTTTTTTTTTTTTTTTTTTTTTTTTTTGAGACAGGGTCTTATACAGCCCTGTCTGGCCAGAAACTTACGTAGACCTGGGTGCCTCAAATCAGGGAGATCTGCTTTCCTCTTCTTCCCAACTGCTGGGACTAAAGGCATGGACCATCATGCTTGGCTCTAGTCAGTTTTAGTGGTTTGGATTGTTGGTTTTCCTCATACTGAATCTTGAGCAGGATTATAGTAAAACAATTAATGTAATTAATGAGTAAAAAAAGTAATTAATGAGACTTTAGAATAATCTGTTCTATAGATTTCCAAATTTTATTTCATAGTCATTCCTCATAAAAATTTTATTTGTTGGACTGGAAAAATGGCTTAGCAGTTAAGAACATTGACTGTAGCTGGGCATAGTTTGAAGCCAGCCTGGTCTACATATCAATTTTCAGGCTAGCCAGAGGTACATAGTAAGATCCTGTTTCAAAAATTAAAACAAGTTTATTTGTACATGTAGTAATTTCTTGTCTTATATGTCCTAAAATGTTGATTTTGGAAATCATTTTTCTATTAAAGGAACTAAGAAATACCATTAATAACAGCACTTAGGAGACTAAGACAAAATGATCATGATTATTAGGGAAACTTAGTCTGGGTAACAAGATCTTGCTTCAGAACACAAAAAATTAAAAAAAGAAAGAGTTAGGGTTGGTAATATAGATCAGTAGTAAGTAGTAGGCTGTTTCCTTAGTAAATGGAAGGCCTTGGGGTCAGTTGTTAGAAGTTGGGCTGAAGTGTTGGCTCAGTGGTTATGAGCACTAGTTCTTCCAGAGGAAGATTCCCAGCACCGATACAGTGACACAAACATCTCTAAATTCAGTCCCAAGGATTCTGATACCCTCCTGAACTCTGTGGACACTGGGCACAGACATAGTGCTCTTACATAAATACAAGCAGATAAAGATTTATACAACTGGGGTTGGGGATTTAGCTCAGTGGTAGAGCGCTAGGCAAGGCCCTGGGTTCCGTCCTCAGCTCTGAAAAAAAAGACAAAAAAAAAAAAAGATTTATACAACAAAATTACTCCCTGGGCAGTGGTGGTGCACATCTTTAATCCTAGCACTTGGGAGGCAGAGGCAGTCAGATCTCTGTGAGGCCAGCCTGGTCTACAGAGGGAGTTCAATGTCAGGCTCTAAAGTTACAGAAAGAAACTGTCTGGGGTGGGGGTGGAGGGATTTACTCAAAGTAAGCATTGTGAATATGACTACATAGTGGGCAGTTTTGGTGCTTTTCTGTTTTTTAAAATTTTTTATTATTTACTTATTTTCTTTTTTCAAGACAGGGTTTCTTTGTTAGCCTTGTCTGTTCTAGAACTAGCTTTGTAGATTAGACTTGGCTTGAACTCAGATCCTCCTTTTCTGCTGCCAGAGTGCTGGGACTAAAAGTGTGAGCCACCACTGACCAGCTTATTTTTATTTTATTTTTTTCAATTGCAACAAATTGCGTCCTTAGTATTGTGATTACCAATATGTGCTGCTACCATGCCAGTTCTGTTTTATTTTTTTGTTTTGTTTGAGACAGGGTATATAGCTTAGGCTGGCTTAACTTCCTTTGTAGAGCAGACTGGAATTCACAGAGATCCTAAAGCCATGAACTTACCAACCCAGATGAATGGTTCTTTTTTCTTTTTAGTTTTGTTTTTATTTTAAATTATATATGTATTTTTGTGCTTATGAAGGCCAGAGGCTCCAGATTCCCAGATCTGGAGTTACAGGTAGTTTTGCCCAGTGTGGGTGCTGGGAACCAAACTTGGGTCCTCTGCTAGATTAGTACGCATTTAACCACTGAGCCATCTCTTCCAGCCCCTTATTTGTTTTTTGTTGTTTGTTTTTGGAATAAGGTCTGAATAGTGCAAGCTGTCCAGGAATTCACTGTGTGATTTTCATTGGCTTCTCAGTCTCAGTAATTCTCTAGCCTTGGTTTTCCTAAGTGCTGGCATTACAAACAGGAGCCAAGTCCTAGCCAAATGAATTTTTAGTTTTACTTAATTCAAATTTATATTCATGCAGGATTTAGAATTTTTGTTTTGTTTTGTTTTTAGAAATAGTCTCATGTAGCCCAAGCTGCTTTCAGTTTGCTGTATAGCAAGGATGACTTTTATTTATTTATTGTGGAGACAGGGTTTCTCTGAGTAGCTTTGCGCCTTTCCTGGATCTCACTCTGTAGCCTGGGCTGGCCTCGAACTCACAGAGATCCACCTGCCTCTGCCTCTTGAGTGCTGGGATTAAAGGCGTGTGCCATCACCACTGCCCAGCCTTTTTTTCTTTTTTTTTTTTTCTGAGACAGGGTTTCTCTGTGTAGCTTTGCGCCTTTCCTGGAACTCGCTTTGTAGACCAGGCTGGCCTCGAACTCACAGAGATCCGCCTGGCTCTGCCTCCCGAGTGC